TAGGAAATGATGTTCGAAGGTTTTTTCTATTTTTAGCTTTAGTGGCCCCTAAAATGGGCTAATCAAATAAATATAAGCAAACTTGATAAAAGAGTACCCAAGAATGCTACAGACAAAGTTTGGTGATCATCCATCAATTGGTTCTGAAGTAGAAATTGCTTAAAGGTTTTTCTATTTTAAGCTTTAGCAGCCCCTAAAAGGGGCCAATCTAATGAATATGAGCAAACTTGATAAAAAATTACCCAAAAATGCTACAGACAAAGTTTGGTGATCATCCATTAATTAGTTCTGTAGGAGAAGATGTTTAAACGTATTTCTATTTTTAATTTTAGCGGCCTCTAAAAGGGGCTTATCAAATTAATATAAGCAAACTTAATAAAAGACAACCCAATAATGCTACAGACAAAGTTTGGTGATCATCCATCAATTAGTTCTGTAGCAATAGATGTTTAAATGTATATCTATTTTTAATTTTAGAGGCCCCTAAAAGGGGCCTATCAAAATAATATTAGCAAACTTGATAAAAGACTACCCAAGAATGCTACAGATAAAGTTTGGTGATCATCCAATAATTAGTTCTCTAGAAATAGACAGTTAACGGTATTTCTATTTTTAGCTTTAGCGCTCCTATAAGGGCCAATCAAATTAATATGATCAAACTTGATAAAAGACTACCCAAGAATGCTACAAACAAAATTTGGTGATCATCAATCAATTTTTTTCTGTAGGAGAAGATGTTTAAAGGTTTTTCTATTTTTAGTCCCCTAAAAGGGGCCAATCAAAATAATATTAACAAACTTGATAAAACACTACCTAAGAATGCTACAGACAAAGTTATGTGATCATCCATCAATTAGTTCTCTAGAAATAGGCATTTAAAGGTATTTCTATTTTTAGCTTTTGGCGGCCCCTAAAAGGGGCCAATCAAATTAATATGAGCAAAGTTGATAAAAGACTACCCAAGAATGCTACAGACAAAGTTTGGTGATCTTCCATCCATTAGTTCTGTAGAAGAAGATGTTTAAAGGTTTTTCTATTTTTAGCTCCGCTGACCCCTAAAAGGGGCCAATCAAATTAATATGAGCAAACTTGATAAGACACTACCCAAGAATGCTACAGACAAAGGTTGGTGATCATCCATCCATTAGTTCTGTAGAAGAAGATGTTTAAAGATTTTTCTATTTTTAGCTCTGCTGACCCCTAAAAGGGGCCAATTGGAATGACTTGAGCAAATTAAAGTGTGACTGTCACAAGGATGCTACAGACCAAATTTGAAGTAAATCTGCCCATTAGTTTCAGAGAAGAAGACGATTGTTGACGCATGACGACGGACGACGGAGCATCCCCCTTTGATACTAATAGCTCAGCCTGAGCCTTCGGCTCTGGTGAGCTAAAAAGTTAAAAACAGAATCCAGTAAGGAAGCCCAACTAAGGAAAAAAATGAAAATATTGCAGACTCGGTTGAGCCTGTTGATGGACAGTAGTAGACACTGCAAACTACCGTACTCACCCACTTGCACCGGCTTGAGCAGAATTCAACATTTAACATAAACTGGTATTTTTTTTATATTTGAATCATCTGCAGATGTGTTCATATGGCGGTAATCATTGAACCTTTGACGCGACACGTAAACATGTGCAATTCCACGAAAAGCGGAATATGGTACCTAAGTAACAACATGCGTGTGCCCTAAAAAGAGAAACAACTGTCATCATTGATGACATGTGTCGCCTTATGATAGCCAATTGCATATTGAAGCTACTGTGTAGCAGGAGACACAAGAATCATTAACAAGGCAAAACACATGCTTTATTCAAGGGGTATAACACGGCTTAAAATCCTTCATTCGGAAAATCTATGCAATATACACAAGTACTTTTGATCAATCCTGTACAGTTTAATTGAAATTGCATTAGTGTTTTAAGAGGAGTAGTCCAGACAAATCATAAAAATAAAATCATTAAAGGGACATAACTGTGAGAAAAATCATTCAATGTTGATGAGATGCACAACTAAATCAAGTACTGATCATTCCTATAAAGTGTTTATGAAATATGATAAACAATATCAACAAGGAAAGGCGGCGTTCAATGAACGTAACCCCAACACGACCCAACAACAAGAACCAGTGACAAGGAGCCCAGTCGGACCACAAAACAAAAACAGGACAGGGCACAAGACAGGCTTATCAATAAAATGATAAATAATTTGTAACTGATAAGGAATTCAAAGAAAACTAATTATAGATTGAATTAAAGGAAATAATTTGTTACTGATAAGGAATTCAAATAAAACAATTAAATGATTGAATAATAGGCCAACACAGTCAAAGGGCACAGGGGAAGGGAACAGGAGACCCGGGGAAGAGTGTGGGTAAAAAAAGAAATAATACTAGGGGCAAAGGGGAAGATACTTACCGTAGACGAGAAAACAACAAGTGACACACGCAAATGTGTCACCAAAACGGTATGAAACAATATAGACATCTGAGGAACACAGAGGGGTGCCGCCTTGGAACAGTCAGCAGCACAAGTACTGCTGGGGAGTTTAAACCGGTTAATGGTGCACAAAACCTAATTACACCAGTAGTTTCTAAAGTGTATTCCAAACAAGTAGCTGGCAACACAAATAAAAACACCTTTTTAAAGGGCCATAACTCGACAAAAAAATCAAGCGAAATACCGTGTTTTATGCGCAAGTACTTGAACTTAATTAACACCTTTTTATTCAGGGGCCATAACTCCACCAACAATCATTCAACAAAAAAAACTTGTAATACTACAGAATTATTTGAGGTACCAATCAGTCCTGTAAAGTTTAAAATTGCATAAGTTGTACAAGAGGATTAGTCCGGACAAACTTTGAACATAAAAACATTAAAGGGAAATAATACAAAAATCATTAAATTTGGGGGAAATAAAAATCCCTAAAGAAAGCCCATCACGTCAAAATTGAAAATTTTGCAGGCTCGGTTTGATTGAGTCTGTTCATGGACGGTACTGTCAAGTGCAAACTACCGTCCACGCCCCCTAGCATCGGCTTATGAAGAATTTAACATTAAACATGAACTGGTAAAATTTAGAATTTAGAAACATCCGTAGATGTGTTCATATGGCGATTATCACGGAACCTTCAATGTGACACGTATTCCATGAAAAGCGGCATATGGTCCCCAAGTAAAACAAGAGGGCCGTGGTGGCCCTGAAATCGCTCACCTGTATATAGGCCCCCGGGGCGGGGCAAATTTTGACCAAGGGGCTTTTATTTGAACACACTTGGTAGAAACCCATTTGAAGATGTTTCATGATAAATATCTTAGCTCTAGCTCTAAGGAGATTTTTTAAGTTTTTACTATACACATATAGGGAAAAACAATGACCCTCCCATCTGGGCGGCGCCAATTTTGTCCCCAGAGCTTTTATTTGAACAAACTTGGTAGACACTTACTAGAAAATAATTTATGCTTAATATCTAAACTCTAGCTCTTTGGTTTTGTTTAACAGATGTTTTTTAAAGTTATTACTATATGCATATGAGAAAAATCAATGATCCCCGGGGCGGGGCCAATTTTAACCCCAGGACCCTTATTTGAGCAAAAATAGAAGACACCCATTAGAAGATGTTTCATGCTAAATATCTTAGCTCTAGCTCTAAATGTCTTTTTTTTTAAAAGAAGATTTTTTCAAGTTTTTACTATAATCAATGACCCCCCCCCCGGCGGGGCCAGTTTTGACCCCAGGGCATTTATTTGAACAAACTTGGCAGACACTGACTAGATGAAGCTCTAGCCATTACGGTTTTCTAAAAGAAGATATTTTAAGTTTTTTCTTTGGGTGTCCATGGCAACCAGAGTTCTGCTTGGAATTAAATTCTTTGAACAATTTTTAAAGTTGACTACCAAAGGAACATCCCTGTGAAGTTTGGATGAAATTGGCATAGTGGTTTATGAGGAGATGTCGTTTAAAGTAAAATGTTACGGACGGACGGACGCCGGACGAAAAACGATCACAAAAGCTCACCATGTCTTTTTGTGACAGGTGAGCTAAAACTGTGTGTGCCCTAAACGAGCAAAAAATGTGCGGAACTAAATAAAATGTAATTTTAAAAGGGGATCTGAGGTTATGAAGCCTGCATATCACAGATATGACGTCAAAAGACAAATTTAAAAAGCAGGCCACATATCCTAAGGGTGATTCAACAGTATTTAATTGAGGAATACAGGAACCACCCAACAAAAGCCTCAAAAGCCGATGATATGCACAACTAGACTTGGTACTTATCATTTCTGTAAAGTATGAATGAAATTGCACCAGTAATTTCTAAGAAGTAGTCTGGACAAGATTCTATGTAGCTGGCAACACACAAAAGTACACCTTTTTATTCAAGGGCAATAACTCCACCAAAAACAATCAACCTTAAACCTGTGTAATATGCGCAAATACTTAAGGTACAGATCAATCCTGTAAAATTGCTTCAGTGGCATAAGAGAAGTAGTCCGGACAAACTTTAAAAATAAAAAAAAATCATTAAAGGGCCATTACTCTGATAAAAATCATTTAACCGAAAACATGCCGACGATATACACAATAAAACTTGGTACTGATCATTCCTGTAAAGTTTGCATGAAATTGCATGAGTAGTTCATGAGGAGTAGTCCGGACAAGTTTTGTAACGGACGGACAGACAGACGACGGAAAAGTTATCCCTATATGTCGCAACTTCAATGTAGAGGCGACACAAAAGAATGGGAAAAACAAATTAAAAATAAATTTTGAAAGGGGATTAGGGGTTATGAAGCTTGCATATCACAGATAAGCTGCCAAAAGACAAAATTAAAAAGCAGGCAATATATCCTAGTGGGGATTAAACAAAATTCAGGCGAGGAATACTGCAACCATCCGAACACTAAATTGGAAAGAAACCGAATAACCGAAAACATACACTTACAACAAAGAAAATAAAATTTGTATCAATAATTTATAACTACATGTACATGTACCTCCACCAGATGAACTATTTGCTGACTTTGAATTTAAAGCATTATTGTAAGCAAACACGGTAGAGTAATACATCCTGTTATGCGCTAAACGGGCAGTCGTGCAAGCTGATTTCTCGTATCTTGTCAGATTATGGAACTTTACGATATTGTCGTCTCCAGGTTTGGTTCCAACACCCCATAGAAATCTTTTTTGTTAAATGAAAAGAAATAAACATACTTGATTATACCAACACAAAAAAAACAACAAAGAACAAAAGAAAATAATAAAAATAACCACATAATAAAAAATGATTAAATCCTACTGTGGGACATTTTATATCAATTAATAAGAGTCACTTACTACTTAATTTAAACTTAAAATAAAAAGAAAATATATATTGGGGTTTGAAATACGTAAAATATGTAAGAATATCCCTGTATGGTAAATTACATATTAGAATAATTTGAAACGAATATAATCACCTATCTAGTCCTGACTCTGGATAAAAAAAGTCAATCCATTGAGCACATATCTTATCATCGTCTGCCTGAAAAGCTCTGTCATTACCGAGACGGTCTCCATCTAGAACATTACCAGCTATGGGCGGAGACTTGTCTATCAGTATTGGTTCATCTCCGTGTCCAGCCGTGAATAGTTCAACTAAAATCAAAAGCATTTTCAGGCAGTGTAAATCTAACATAGAATTACAGTAACAGTCATTTGTGAATAACTTTATCAAGAGAATAAACCATAAGATAAAGAGGATCTTTGTTTGTTTATGCGAAAGATGAAATTTGTCTTATAGGGTGAGCTTTAAAAACAGTATTCTCACGAGTGAATAAAATAAAATCTTGCACAACAACAAATTTTCTTTTTACTTTATGGTTAAAAGAAGTTTAAATGAAATTTTCTCAATATTAATTTAACATTAAAATCTGTTTTTCTCATTGGTAGCCTCGTGTTTAGTCGAATTTCTCATAAATACAAGAAGTCTTGAGCTGAAAAATAAGTCGTTTATTTAATTCAAATAAATGAATGATCGCTTGTTTTAATAATAAAAACAATTCTATTAGAAGAAAAAGTCACACCATCTGACCTTATTTCCGTTACTTACGGCGAATTTTATATTAGACGAGGCTTTGGATAATGTAAGCGGCCGCCATTTTTAAATGTTGTGTACGGGAAAATTTTTTTGTTTGATTTGGATATGTGAGTAAAAGACAGAAAAAATATATTTGGGATTGATTGTTACAGACAATAAATAATTGTTGACAGATGTGTAAACATTCAAAAAAAGGCTAGAAATTTGGAAAACATGGAATTGTTGAAAGGCTGTCTAACGAACTCTGGGTTGTTTACTTATTCTTCGGCCTGATGACTGTCATTTCTTTTCAAGTTTTCATATTGCAATAGGCAGTTATTTCTCGAAGGATACTTAAATATGCCCAAATGTCATCAAGAGCAGGATTTTGCATGTGGAAGGAAGTGTATTTTTCAGACTGTAAAAGTGAAAAAAAAATGTTCAAAATGTTTAGAGACGATATTTGCCGAGTGGTTATTTAAATGAATTGAAGTAAGTTTTTATCTTTTTATTACTTTTGAACTTTAAGATTTTTACCAATATCACCTTTGCTTTACTCTAAACAGCCCTGACAATGTCAGAATTGTCAGCAAAACTTTAATTGAGGTACCACATGGGGAAAATATATAAAAAGGAGTCTCGTCATTAAAATGTGTGAAATTATATTTTGATAATTTTCCTTGTGAAAATATACCATTATTTGTTACTCTAATACGGATCCATGCTGGTATTCCCTCTTGTAAACCAAGCTCCTTTACGGCTACGAAAGGATCATCCCTGTCCTTTGAGGCATGGAGACTGTATGGCTTCAACTGAACGTCATACTTTGTTTTACCAAGACCGAATTCAGCGTCAGATATTTTAGACAGCTCGTCTGTGGCGTTATAGTATATAGCAATAAGGTCAAAATCCTCGTCGTAAATAATATCTGTTACACCGTTAAAAACAGGAGGTGTTGTATCAACGGTGAATGAAGTAGAATGACAAACTGTCGTAACAAGTGATCCACCTAGTTCTGCACCATTTAAAGCTTGAACTGTTATATAGTATGGACCGTCATCAAGATGAATCCCTTTATGAAATCCAGAATCAGTCCAAAATTTCTTGCTTGTTAAATGTACATATGGGTCATTAAATTGGACAAGATCTGTGCCGCAAACATTTCTTCCGATGGCCCATGTAAATCCCCGCAAACCGCTTTCGTCATCGTGGAAACCTTTCCAGTTGGCTATACAAAAATATGAATGCAAATTAAATCGTTCTGATTCCAAACTGTAGTCTCTGCCACATTGCTTATACATATCAGTGTTACGCTTTGGTCAAAGTATCAGTAACATAAGGCGAACGCAAATGACGACAAGAGTTAAAAACAACAACATAAAATTGAATAGCCTACATAGCTCAACAGGTGTTCTCAAACAAAACCATAAAATAAGAAAATGAAAATATAGAAACACGTGTATATTATGAATCAAAATTTATTGGTACGATTCTTGGTCTGAGTAATGTTAAAAGCGTTATAGGCTTTTCATTTTAGGTCATTTTGAGAAAAACATATTAAAAAGAAAACGGAGTTAGCAAATGATAAGAAATTTACACAAAAATACAAGTGTCCTAAAAACATTGTCATCAAAACACCCCCAATAAAGCAACTTTTTCATTTTCGTATTAAATATAAAGGGCCATGAAGATGCACTTATGTTTCAAATTATTAGCCTTGAAATTAATGCTGTTTATCTATTTCCACAAGTATTGCCTCTATCACAATAAAAAACAGAATCTCTTAAGAAAACCCTACTCGACAAAATGTAGGTTGCAGGTTTGATTGAGCCTGTTTATTGACTGTACTGGTAAGTGCAGGTTACCGGCGTTTGCAGAATTCAACATAAAAACAAAAGTTTGCAGTCATATTATCGACACGCAAATGTTTTCTACTTTAAATTTACCTGACACATAATTGTTATTCAGAGTGTAAAGTTCGTCTAGCAAGGGCTTGTGTCCATTAAAAACTGTACCAGAGCCTTTACCATCTATAATTATTCTAGAAAATAGAAATTATAGGAATTCAATAAATAATCCATATCTTAGTGAACGTATATAAACTTCATAGTTCATTCTTAGAGACGATATCTTACTAATTAAAATCAAATTATTCATATTTATGTTTTGCAATGCAAAGTAAACTAGAACTGTGTCCAAAGGACACAGATGCCCCCACTGACAACATTCTGTTAAATTTGGTCGCAACCAAAATTCCTTCCTTTACTTCCATCTACACATTAAGGTTGTTCATCCCTGGACGTTTAAGCAAAATATGCCATCCGGTTTAAGAGGAGTTGCGTTCACAAAATTTCTATATGGTATATAGTGAAAAGATCAACAAAGGGTCATAATTCTGTAAAATTTGGTCACAACAAAAATTCCTTCCTTTACTGCCATCTACACATTAAGGTTGTTCATCCCTGAAAATTTAAGCAAAATCTGCCATTCGGTTTAAGAGGAGTTGCGTTCACAAAATTTCTATATGGTATATAGTGAAAAAATCAACAAAGGGTCATAATTCTGTAAAATTTGGTCACAGCAAAAATTCCTTCCTTTACTACCATCAACAAATTAAGGTTGTTCATCCCTGGAAGTTTAAGCAAAATCTGCCATCCGGTTTAAGAGGAGTTGCGTTCACAAGATTTCGGGACGTACGGACAGACGGACATTCTTACCAGAGATACATTATGGGGATTTCTTTTGTTATTTCCTTTGTTCTTTTAACCCCACAATGCAGAAAATAACCCCACAAGAGAAACGGAATGAATGACATCAAAGACATCTATTGTTATGAGAACAATAGACCAAACCCCATAATGTAGCTATGGTTTGTACGGAAGGACGGACGTACGGACAGACGGACGGACAAGTGCAACGCTATATGCTCCAACTTTGTGGGGGCATAACAATACATTCTTCCTAAAAGAACATAATTCAATAAATTTTACCTATGATTGTTTTCCCAAGTGACGTCAATACATTGCTGAGTTACAGCTGCGTTACATTTATCTGCTCGTAAAATATCTTGGCGTGCATTCTTAATAATGCCGGGTTCAGGTGGAGTAAAATCTACCATTGTTCCTTCGCCTACAAGATAAGCATCATAACCTAGAACGTTCCTAACTTTTGTGTTAACAAAGTATGTTGAACCATGTGTCAGCGGCAAGCCAGAGTATTCTATCGGAGTATTATAGCCAGTGCCAAGTCTTTCGAAGTTACTGTATGTGCCGCTTATGCGCAAGTAAGCATTTGCACCTTGTACAACATCATGTAAATCACATGTCTCCGAGTGATACTCATAGTCAAAGGACACACAGTTCGATCCATAGCTTATGCATGTCTTAGCACAAGTCTCTGCATCCGGGGTATTCTGCGACGTTAGAATCCATGCCACCAACTTTCCCTCCCTAGGAATTGTGAAATGTTTTAAAGCACCGATCACTCCATTTCGTGTTGCAGAATGATCAAGTCGGAGCTCCTGCCAATCCTCAAATTGAGACCCGGATTGTCCGGGACTAAAGCCTACAGCTTTGTAGTGAGTTTCTACCAATGGACTGTCGTCAAAGGCTACGACTGACGCAATGATTTTATTTGGATGACTTGAAAACTTATAAGGATGTTCCACTCTCCCGTCCGGCAGTGTGCTATCATATGTAATAAGGAAACATTGACTTATCAAAGACAAGCCTTGACTATTTTGTGCCTTGACTGACCAGTATAAAGGGATACCTCCAGGAAGTTTTGACGGTACCATGAGTGAGTTACCTCCCATATCAGTCCAATCAACGACGTTTGTTCCACCACGATGTGTTCCAATCGCATAAAATAATTTTACCTCACTGACTTCATCTTGTGCGTGCATTTCTATTCTAAAGGCTGGATCGTAGAATGGTCTTCCAAATACTTGTTGTACAAAACACCCTCTAGTCCCTGATCTTTTTTTCCTTTCATTTATTGTATTAGGTAAAATTTCAGGAGGGGATGGGTCGTCGTCTCGTTTTTTCTTGTTGAAAATATTTTTGCGGATTGATGGTACAGCATATTCCCAAAGTAAACCTTCAAACACGGTTACCCGTTTAAAGAAAAGATTTAACTCTACAACAGCTTTTAGCTGAAGACGAAGAGGAGTAAACACCATGTCCATCCTTGCCCTGTAATGAACACACAAATAAGAATACTGGTACTTAAAATAAACCAAGACCAATTTAACCGTTTCATCGGATAAAGGATCAAATTTTATTAAGACGTACAAGTTACGGGCCTAAATGTATTTAAAAATGTGAAAAACATTTTTTATTTTTTCTTCATATTCATACAATATCAAGTGTTCATTTCCAAAGTCTCTTTTTGAAGTTTTGATACTTAATCATCGAATGCCTTGCTAATAAAACTACTTTTCGGCAGACGTTTACCAAAGTGAATTGGTATTGCATACCTTTTACTTATGGTTAAAAAAGAAATCATACCCGACATCAATAGGATACTTTGAGAAGACAAGTTCTGTAGTCATGGGGAATTTGGTTTCCATTAAATATCCAATTAAACGTATTGCTCCCCTTGCAATGAATATGTCAACAGCAATATCGCCCCATACTTTACCACCTACCCACGGTGTCAAAGTTAACTGATGAAAAAAAATGAAATGTCACTATAAACGAGTTTAATTTATGCTGCTTTGTTTAAATATTTTGTTTTGAATTGTTTTCAGGATGCTTTACCGTAAAGGAAATATTACATAAGATAGCAATCAAAAATTATAGCATTATAGTCCCGTAATAGACAATAAAGATGTTTAAAATAAGTTTTTATCATAACATTTTACAATTCGGGTAAATAACTTCAGGCATATATTTAATCAATATCCTTAAATCAAATAATACGCAACTTGTCAATTTTGGCTTTCTCTTGTTGCTTTGATCTTTTACTTTGTTTTAATACTTATATCCAAGATACGATGCTACTGTGTGTTCATGATTACATTAAAATGTTTCATACCGAAACAAAGTTATAAAAACAAGTTCAAGTTTTTTCTGTAAGTCTTTCTTTTAAATTCATTTTTGTTAAATAAGCTAAATTTGGAGATTAAAATTTGCACATAATTGTTTTTTTTCAAACACGACTTTAATCATTGCTTTTCTTCAGATCTGGTCATAGTTTTACCTGTGTTGTCATACTGAGTACACAAAGTCCAACTTTAACACCCAAGCCGACACTTCCACCACCACCAAATCCTGTAAATGTAATCAAAAATGAAAAATGAGTTCATTTTTGTTTAAATGGTACTTGAAATATGTTAAACCACTTATGACTGTGAGAACTATTTATGCAATTAAATCACCATTGACACCGAGTTTTAGGTGCTATACATAAATGGTATACCGTTGACAGAGACGGTTCATTTTTCTATCGCACACTTTGAAATAACTATAAACGAATTTTCCCAGCAAAAATGCACTTGTAGACATCCGTATTTACTAGTGTATTTTAATCATTCATATTTGGAGATTTTGTCTGTCACTTGGCAATAATCACAATTCACATGATAATTTCTTATTATTAGTTATATAGTTTTGGCCTTTGTTCGTTGAAGAGATAACAAAAACTATTTTAAATTCTTAAATTACTTAAATGGACGTCTAGAATATCAAAAGAACGCATCAAAACTTCGAAATTGGTATTCCCTTATTTCATTTGCCGTCACCATGGTATAATTACATACTAATGCATATTTTGTAAAGTCCAATGTAATATAAGTGCGTAATATACATATCAATTGCGTAATAATAGCATGAATGGGAAAACTCTTGTTCTAAATAAAACGAGTATTTTTTGTGTCACTGTGACCTTGACCTAATGAACTTACTGTCAAAAGAGATCTCCTACAAGCCATGGGAAATGTTCAAACAAAGTTTCTTCTGGTTAGTCATTATGCATGAGTTACGATCAGCCTACGGCTTATAAGTTATGACGGCTCACGGCTTGGCCTTTTGTCCCTACCAAGTAATATGAACCACCGCTAAAATTTTCTCAAGTTATTGACCGAAAAAGGAATAAGTGGTATGTGCATGGAGTTATTATGGAAATTTCTAAAAATTCAAAATCTGATTTCATGTAAAGACCAGTTTAAGTACCATTACGTGGCCGAGTGGTTAGGGTCGTTGACTTCAAACCACTTGCCTCTCACCGCTGTGGGTTCGAATCCCGGCAAGGACTTTGGATTCTTTCATGTGAGGAAGCTATCCAGCTAGCTTACGGAACGTCGGTGGTTCTACTCAGGTGTCATTTCGTGCCTGAAATAATGCACGGAAGGGCACCTGAGGTCTTCCTCCACCAGTAAAGCTGGAACGTCGCGATATGACCTATACTGTGTCGATGTGACGTAAAACCCAAAACAAACAAATAAAAAGTACCATTACATACAAAATTTATTTCAGTAGACAAAGGAGATTTATGAATTCGGTTCTGTACTTGATGATGATACTTAAATCGTTGTAAAAATGGGGCAAGGAAATTCAAACGTATAATCCCTAGTAAGTTTATATATATATGAGTTACTCTGGGGCCAATTTCGATCTCATGATATATATGACTAAGTGGACCTCAAGGTTATGCTATATCTCCAACATTGAAGCTTTTGACATTTAATTTTGTGGGTTGAAGTTATCTAGATATATCGTTGTTTTGTCAATTTTAGGTTTTGGTACCTACTTATGCATCAAACTTGGAATCTTCAAGACATGTGTAGATGGCCACATAAGTATCATCTTAATGAGGACTGGTCAATATCTTACCCGTGGTTTAGAAGGAGATGGTGTTTAAAAAATGTGGAATAAGATCAAAGATTAAAGACGTATGATTGACACACTGCCGTCACAAAAGCTCATCACTAAGCTCCTTTACTAAGTAAATTGATTCCACTATTTTTATATATAATTGACTTCTTTGGAATCGGAATAAAGATATACTGGATAGTTACACTAGTTTTAAGAAATTATGAAAATACAACGGATAACAATAATAAATAGTTACATAAACAAAAAATATACCTAGCGAGAAAGGAACAGGTCCAACCAGATAAAATAGCTGAATATCTTTGAAGAATTTTATGTCAATCGGTGGTACAGGAATATTTGCACTAACACAGAAATCTATTTTATTTTTAAACTCTTCCCCTATTTCGCCAGGTTTGTCTGCATATTCGTTCATAAGCTGAAATGAAAAGGCAACCTTCACAAGTTCACACGCAAGAAATGCATCAACTGCCTTTAGAGAATAAACTGTAACGATTAAGATATGAAATTTGAAAGAAAAGAAAGGAAAATAAAACTGTTTTTATCTATTCAAAACTTTTTATAGAATATTTATTTCTATACCTCATTCACAACTGTATCTCTAACATCTTCAAACACCCTTGCGCTTTTACGATCTAATAACATATATTCCCCAAGCTGTGCCACGAAGGTTGGTATTGACATTTCAAGAATTTGTGCCTTGGTATTTATAGAGCTAAAACTGGTCGCTAAATAACACAAAACATTATTATTATTATTATTATTATTATTATTATAATGTATGCGTTTGTTTTCTAATATGTATAGTGATGAAACAAATGGAGCAAAATGAATGGTATCATTTAAAATATAATATATTTCGATATTTTACTGCATGTACAAGTTTCTAAATATTATGTATTATTATTAATAGCCATAAAATTGTAAAACAGTCAATTTCGAATGTTTATCAGTTCCATATGAGACAATTATTAAATTATATCATGTTATATCAGGTTATATCATGTTAAGTAGGACAATTAAACGAAAAAACATATCATTATGCTTTACGAGACATTTTGAATTTCAGTGACTAAAATAATATAAAACAGTAGTTCCTTTGCGCTCCTGATGTACTCATTTCAGCTATTTTACATAGAGTGGATATGATTTTACAGTTTCTGACTAACTTATATGAAAGCTTAAGACTCTCTTGGCAAAACATTTTCACATATGTACCACTAAAGCTGTTTAACGTGTTTTGGTCAAATCAGATGTAGAGATTCGAAGATGTCCAGGGGTGTAATAAAATAATAGTTATTTATACCTCGAATTAAGGACACTTTGAAGAAGCAGCAGAAAGTGTTGATAGCATTGATAGCGATTATGATGATGCATGTATATAACTGAAAACATGGATCACGATTGAAATGTACAATAAGATATAACTTCGACAACTTGCAAACGGGTTTACTGTGTATGTTCTTTGGTCGGTCATATTGTATGCAAATATGTTAATAAGGTGCTAATTTATCTTTGAAATTCATGTTATTATTCAGGAAAAGAAACTGATCATTAAATATTATTATTATTACTATAATTATTATATACCACATTTCTATAGCACTCTTTTCATAAATAATAAATGTTCAAGGGTGCTTTACATAAATCTGATAAAATATAATTATATATATGACACAAGGTACAATATCAATTTAGTAAACCTATTAAACAATAATGATTATCTAAAACCAGTAAAGGATGGTAAGAAATACAGACACATTAAGTTTAAAATCAAGACTCAATTTAACAAAAAAATCCTATAAAGGATTTGAACGAAATAAGATTGTTAAAAAAGGAACAAACAAAAGTAAAAAAAAAAGAAATCAATTATAAAGTAAAACCCTAAGACACACAATGAAAGACACAATTTTCACTGGTAATGTAGCCAAAGTAGTATATGTATGTTGTCTTATGAAACTAACGTCCATAGAACTTTATGAAATAATGTGTTTTGAGAGCTCTCTTAAAATTTGGCAAGGTATTGCAGTCTCTAATGCCAGGTGGTTACGCATTCCATAATTTCTATGCGGCTGTCTTGAAGCACCTGTCACCATATCGTACTGTCCGAGATTAAGGCATACCTAATGTCACTGAGTTTTTCTAGGACCTCATAATCCTGACTGGAGTGTACACGTCTATCATGCCTTTTATATAGGCTGGTGACTGATCTATAAGGTATTTATATGTATACGTCAAAATTTATATTTGACCCGATATTCTTCCGGAAGCCAGTGAAGTTCACGTAAGATAGTCGTTATGTGGTCATATTTGAGTGTTTTGGTCACAATTCTAGCAGCTGTATTTTGAACATATTGTAATTTGGTCATAGACTGCTTAGAGACTCCATATAACAGTGCATTACAGTAGTATAACCAAGAGGTAACAAGTGAATTTACTAGAGATTTCGTTGCTTTAACAGTAAGATAGGGTATGATGTGACCATTTTGTCTTAATTGTGCATAACAGTTCCTACAGACATTATTTACATGTTGTAATATATAATTTATGTAATACTATGAACAACAAAAATGAATCGATATATTAGGCCCATTAATGAAATAAGATAAATGTCCAATTAACTAAATGGTGTCAACAAACTTAAAAAATAACTTATATTTTGTTGCTGGTATTACTATTGTTGATACTTGTAAACATAATAAAACTTATTATGTATTTAAAAAGTTGTTTCTTTTCTCTTTCTTTTTTCGGACGAAGTCCGCCTGATATTACTAAAATATCATGTACAATTTAGTGGGAAGAATTGAATATAAGAAGAATTTTCATTAGTCATAAAATAAATTACAAATCGCATTTGTCGTTCTAAAATAAAATATAAATGATAAATCTAACCACTGTAAAAAGAAATGTCTAGGATAGTTTATACCATTTGAAAACAAGAGAGCCAAGATGGCCCTAGTTCGCTCACCTCACCAATCGAACTCATCCGAACAATAACATAGACAAGTATTATGACCAAGTTTCATAACAAGGTTTTTTGACATATTTGGGCGGTGTGACCTAGTTTTTGAACCCAGGTGACCCATATTTGAACTTGACCTAGAAATCATCAAATCTAATTTTAGACCAATTTCCAGGATATTTGGATCATAACAGTAGCCACTAGTGATTACAATATTTTTCTAATTTTAGCTCCGGTGACCTAGTTTTTTATTTGAGATGACCCATGTTCGAACTTATCCAAGCAATTACCTAGACAAGCATCCTGACCAAGTTTGATGATAATTGAGTCAAAAATATGACCACTAGAATGTTAACAAGGTTTTTCCATATTTGGGCAGTGTGACCTAGTTTTTCAACCGAGATGACACATATTCGAACATGATCTAGATATCATCGAAATAAACTTTCAGACTAATTTCCAGGATATTGGATCAAAACAGTAGCCACTAGAGTGTTTACAAGATATTTCTATTTTTAGCTCTTGTGACCTAGTTTTTATCCGAGATGACCCATGTTCGAACTCATCTGAACATTTACCTAGACAAGCATCCTGACCAAGTTTGCTGAAAAATGAGTCAAAAATGTGACCGCTAGAGTGTTAACAAGGTTTTTCTATCTTTAGCTCCTGTGACTTACTTTTTCATCTTAAATTCATCCAAGCAATTACCTTGATAAGCATTCTGACCAAGTTTGATGATGATCCGAGTTCAAAATGTGATCGCTAGAGTGTTAACGAGGTTTTTGCTAGTTTTAGCTCCAGTGACCTTGTTTTTCATCCGAGATAACCCATGTTCAAACCCATTCGAGCTATTACCTAGATAAGCATCCTGGCCAAACTTGATTATGATTGAAGCAAAAATGTGACCGCTAGATTGTTAACTAGGTTTCGTACTTGACCTAGAAATCATCAAAACCAATTTTCAGACCAAATTACAGAGTATTTGGATGAAAACTGTACCCACTAGAGTGTTAATAAGATTTTTCTATTTTTAGCTCCGGTGACCTAGTTTTTCATCAAAGATGACCAATGTTCGAAATTATCCGAGCAATGACCTAGACAAGCATCCTGAACAAGTTTGATGACACTTGCGTCAAAAATGTGACCGCTAGAGTGTTAACAAGTTTTTACCATATTTGGGCAGTGTGACCTAGTTTTTGACCCGAGATGACACATAGTCAAAATTGAATTAGAAATCATCAAAACAAACTTTCAGACCAATTGACAAGATTGAGTCAAAAATGTGACCGCTAGAATGTTAACAAGGTTTTTCTATTTTAAGCTCCTGTCACCTATTTTTTCATCTGAGATGATCCATGTTCGAACTCATACAAGCAAAGACATAGACAAGCATCCTGACCAAGTTTGATGACACTTGAGTCAAAAATGTGACCGCTAGAGTTAACAATATTTTTCTATTTTAAGCTCCTGTGACCTAGTTTTTCATCCGAGATAAATAATGTTCGAACTCATTTGAGCTATTACCTAGATAAGCATCCTGACCAAGTTTGATTATCATTGAAGCAAAAATGTGACCGCTAGAGTGTTAACAAGGTTTTCCTTTTTTAGCTCCTGTGACCTAGTTTTTCACCCGAGATGACCCATGTTCGAATTCATTCGAGCTTTTACCTAGGAAAGTATTCTGACCAAGTTTGATTATGATTGAGGCAAAAATTTGACCGCTAGAGTGTTGACGAACAAGTGTCGACAGACGACGGACGACGGACATTCAACGATCCTAAAAGCTCACCCTGAGCAAGATTCGTTTAGATATCATTACAGATTCTAGAAAGCATTTCAATTTGCGGTTTATTTCGCATAAGTTCTTACTGAGCTATAGATTTTACATCGTATAGTGTTTAATGTTTCAGGATCAATTCGTTTTGATTAAACTTAAATTGTGTAAGTAATTTTGTTTTAAATCTTAAATGATATTAGGTACTTAAAAATCAATTTACATTGAGTGTTAAGTTGAACCACATCGAAATTAATTGAGTATAAAATTATTTGTTCTATTTGTATGTGGAGTTTTAATCCGGCTTCGGACCCAACAATTTAACACAATAAATGTGGTTGATAGGGGTATAAACCATCGTTCGGTCTATCGGTAGTAAACACAAATGGTTTTTGTTTTCTACTACCTCATACTGTCAATTTTGCATTTCCAAATTAACACAGTTTAACTTAAAGTGACATTATACTCTTTTTTCATAGTCAAGCTGAGCTGAATTGGCTATATATTTAAAAAAATGCCTGCTTAAATGGTGTTTGACCAACAGTTGATATTGGAAAATGTTTAAGATAAAATTTGAAATCTGCCAAAAATATAAAAAGATTGCCCCACTCTTTTATGAATTAAACTTTACAGGTAAATTTTAAATGATATTTACAGAAATTTCGTTGGATCCGATGGTTATTTATTGTTTATGCATATAAAATCATTTAATTTAAAGGAATTATTGCGAAATGAAAATTTATTTGACTCTCACCTGTTCACTCATATTATACCTTTAGATGGGCATAATTTCACTTTGAAAAACACGTTAATGGGACAACTATTATTTAATACTGTCACATAAAATATATTATGTTGTCAACTTAGTTAAATAGTAAATTAAATCATATAAAACTTAGAAGAACTTAAAGATATACTCAGTATGTTGAAATTACGTACAACTGATCTTATTGTTTAGTGGTCAAGATTAATCGCCGTCTTAAAGCTTCGAT